TTTTTTAATATATTATGTATAATTGTCACATTTTATAATATATTAAATTTAATTCTACTATATTAAATAAATTTTTGTTAAAAATGATTAAAATTAGAACACTTTCGTTATTAGTCCACATAAATGTTGCTGAAGTTAGTTAATATTATATAATGTATTCATATAAAAAAAGGTTTCCTCATTTTCTATAATAGACGTTATAAAATTAAAACGAAATAAATAATGATTATGTTACTTTGGAAAAAATTATATTTTTATTATATCACGCGTATAAAAGGTAGTTTTTGTGTTTAAGATTTTTATATTTCTCAATTATTGTATTATTTTATGTCATTGTAATATTTATTTAAGCTACATGCATAGTAAATGTTTGTATTGTATTCGAAGTTTCATTTGCAATTTCATAAAACAGTGTTGTATTCGGTTTGTCTTAGTAATGTGATACAATTAGTTTGTCAAAAAGGTATAATTATGTATTTTGTATGATAATACTGTATCATTTTAAAAATTAAAAGCAGTGCGAATGGAAATACGAAAAGCTTGAATATTAAAATGTGTTCCTTATTAATTCTAAATTCATGTTTCCATGTTAATAACTTATTAACACACAAAACAAAACAAAATATATTAAGTACTGGGTCATAGATATTATACATCATAATTTAAGAACATTTTTAGAAGGCATGCAAGATGCTATCTCTAATTTTAAAATATTTGCCCACTGTTGATAAAGTACTTGTTCATGCAGTAGTATTAACGTACCTTAATTATAATATTATTATTATTAAAATATGTATTATTTTGCAGCTGTTTAAGTTCCAAAGTTGATCCTACACTTTTAATCTTATTATCCTATAAAAGATATTGGTGTTAGACACAATCATTAACAGTTTTAAATAGCTTTTATTGCTCTTGCATGTGAATGTTACTGTTCACATGTATTAAAAGCGTATGTGATGTTATTTCTGTCATAAAATTCGATTTATACCAAAATATAATATATTCTAATAGTCATCCTAATTGATAATATATAGCATGAAATTATATAAAATATTTCAGAACCATATATCTATCATATCTAGTCTATGAAAATATATTTAATTATATTCCAACTAATAAATAAGTTGGATAACTGCAGAATAAAAAAGAACTGTAGATCCAATCCGCCACCTTTATCAGCAGCTTCTTCAAAAGCTAAAATACAACACATTTTATGGCAACTAGAATTTTATTTGTATTTCCCTAAAAAATTCTTATTTAATTTAAAAATACGCTGATTTGAACATTAAATGTAAATATTATAAATTACTTGGTGAAATAAATAATTACGTATAGGTACAAACAATGTTTTGGTTGTAATAATTTATGAAAAGTATATTAAAAACATTAATAAAACATTTGCGCAGTTTCTTAAAATGACATTTCACTATAGCGTCTGCTTTTGAGTTTTAATACTGTGTTAATAGTAAATGTATGTATTTAATTCCTTAGTAATAATATAAATTTAGATATGTTGTATGTTATATAATTTTAAATACGAACCGTTGCTGTATCTCGTCTTTGCCTTCCCAGAGTGACAGAACGGATATGATGTACCTTACTTGCATCATTTGTGGTGGCCACAATTAACACCTGAATTAAAATCGTATTGATTATATAATTTCCATAAATAATTAAGTATGCAATATTAATTTTTTCTTTGAAGTTTAATTCCTCTTAACAGTAGTAAAATTATACCTGGCCATCATAAGCTTGAATGAATGCATCACTAATAACATTCAAGGCATTATTCAGCAAAGATAAAGCTTCCTTTGATGTAGTTGAATTATTCCCATATGCATCAAAAATAGGTTGCAACCCAGATACAACTAACCAATAAATATCAGGCTTAGAATCTGGTTTAATAGCAGAAGGTGCTTTTTTGGCAATAGCGTGCAACAGTTGCACTTCTTCAAGGAATTTCCTATCTTCTTCCTTTCTTAAGTTTAGTGCTTTTAAAGATGTCTCATCAATAGGAGTTGGTTTTAATTCTCCAAGTGCAGACTGTCCCAACTGAATTCATATTATAAGGGAATTAGTTTAATTTCAGTTATATTATATTTTTCTTAATAATTTCAGTTTTACTATTTCATATAACTTAACACATTCGTAGACAGTACAAATTTTAATGAGCTACAAAAGTAGACAGGTGATTTATTCTTAAATTAACTGTGATATGAAGAGACTATATAAAATTAAATACATGAAATGTAGCTCATAAATTTGAATGTTATAACATTTATGTCATTTTGCATCATAATGAAAATGAATGCTGTAGCATTCATGTCCATGAATGTGTTAATAAAACTTAAAATCAGCTATATGATATTACATTTTCACTAATTTCATTTAAACTAATATTTTGTTGTCATACTTACAGCATCAATTCCATCACTCAAATTGATTCTTACTAACATATTATCATCATCTCTTTCATCAAGACGTTGTCTTAAAGCTTGCCACGTAGTTTCTTCACCCTCGTTAACATTTAGTGGAAATGTTGTACCTTTCGATGTATTCAAAGAATATATTCCTTCTATAGATATTACAACTACAGCTTCTGCAAGGTTGAACGGATCTGTGATGGACATGCCATCCCATGTTCCTTTCTATAAGAGATTACGGTTAAAATTTTAAATGTTGTATTTACATTTAGTACTATGCAAAGAGAAAAATAAGGAAGACTGACTAGCTTTGCAGTGTAACCTAAAGCAGCTGTAAATACTTCAGTAAGCAGGCTCTGATTTACTTCTCCTTTTCCATTGAATTGAACAGTACTTGGACTATGAAGTACTAGAAACTCCCCATTTGCTTTTACTGTAATCAACAAACAAACATAATGCTTCTTTATAAAATTAATGACACATATTTTATTAATTTTTACTACTATAAAATTATATACTGATAGTATTACGAAGCGAAAGCGGAAATACCTGCAACAAAAGCAGCTACGAAGCAGACGAGTGTTTTCAACATTTTTATTTCTAAGATGCAACTATAAATTCGAGACACTCCCTACAATTCAATATCAATCCACAAATTGATCATATGACACAAACGGAAACGAATCTTTACTGACAGTAGCATGTGCTGACATATAGCGATAGATATATGAACTATAATATGATCATAGTATCACTACGCTAGGGTAATTTTGCGCATCGTACAACTAAGGTTGGTAAAAACAGTTTTTCATAATTAAAACGAAACTCAAAATATAGCTATTATCTGTATGTAAGGTAAAATAAACTTTTCAAATCAATGCATATGTCATTATCGTGAAAAACATACATTATTATTTGAAATAGTTCATCTAAGTATAAATATTAATGTGATAGCTTCTTGCTACGCATTATCACGAAGCAGACCGGTTATTGAAAATTTTTGTTCTTAACTTAAATATAAATACCTGAAGAATACTTTTTACATATTAAACTCAAAATATATTATTATAAGGAAATAATAAATTATAAGTATTTAATTTATATAATAATAACATTTAAATCAGTGTATCATGTGAAATAGATCATTATTTAAGACCAATCGTTTATACACCAATATGACGTAAGTATGTAAGTATATAACAAATATAAACTTTTAAAAATGGGAAGATTCTTAATGTATTGAAGAAATACACGAAAAATCTAATGTAAGTTTGCGTCTTCGAGTTATTGTCTTTGATATTCTCAACATTTAAAATTATGCGATATTTTAATGGGATTTTAATTACGTCAAGGGTGTCTAACTGGGTGCCCGCAGGCACTATAGTGACATTCCCCTCACGAAAAGTTACCCTCTCCGCCTTAGATACTTTATCTGTACATTGAACACACATACAGCTATCACGTACGCAGCTCTGCAACTCCTTAAGTTAGGTAGTAGGGGAACCATTGCACGCGAGTCACTAGCTTGAGGGGTGGCAGTAGGACATCCCTACTACACACGAAATGCTAGGAATATGATTCTAGTAATAACACGAATTTTACGTAAAGTGGTTAGGACATTTATTTATTTGATTACTATACATACCTAAGTAAGTACACTATACTGTGCGTACACTGAGTGTTACAAACTTTTGTACTTATGTTAAAGTTGCTTTTCTGCTTCTAAAATGTTTATTTCAAGGGACATCAATGAAACAAAACTATTTTAGAAATATTGAATATGTATATTTAAGTGAATTGTCAATTATCTTGTGGTGTTATATTTTTTTAAAGGTATGCATACTTTCTCATATTTAGAAGAAGCGCTGGTTACTGTCAATTTAAAATACAAAAAACTGTTGTGGTTATTGTTATTAACAAATATTTTAATATATTAATGGTGTAGTCATCACGATATTGTCATCCTTAGTATTGTTATGACATCTTTAATTAAGACATTATAAAATTGTGTAACCTCGAAATATTTTATAAAATTTTTATGTCATTTCTTACAATAATATGTATATTAAACTAAAAATGAGAAAATATTTGAAATTTATTATAATTTAGTCCATTAAAAAACTTATTTTTAGACCAACAGTTATGAATACAACAATAAATTCTATAGAAAGTGGAGGTGATAAACGTATATCAGAAACAACCGTGCAAAGTGTTGCACAAAATCTAACTACAATGCAAAGCACACAAAATGTACAAAGCGTTGTACAAAGTAATATACAAAATATTCAGTCAACGCAAACTATAGTGAGTTCAATCGGAACGCCTAGTAATCATATAGGTAAATCAATATCAATGGATACAAATCCAAAGTTACCTCTAATGAAACCTGTAGTTCCATCTGGTACCACATCCACATTGGAAAATAATAAAATAACTACAACGGTAAAGAAACATCAATGCATGAATTTGTATAATCTTAACAAATCTTATCAAACCTTATCAAATTATAATTGACTGTTTATCTGTTTATAGCTTTGTTCTGTAGGTTCTACAGTAAGAATAATATCTCCAAGTATGTTAAATACAGTGGAACGTCAAAACCAACCACAAACACAACAGTTGTTACATCAAACGCAACAGGTGACAAATATGCCAGCAACTTATCATGTACCAAGAGGGCCGGCTGCAGTTGCAAATATATCTGCTCCAAGATCAACAGTGGCTACTCCTATTGTTAGAGCAAATACAGGGCAGACGGTTCCAACGACAAGGTCAGGGTATGTATGTAATGGAAACTAATGCTTATCAATTAATTAACATAAGTGATACAAAATCTGTTGTTAAGATTTAATAAAAGTGCCACTTCATTGTAAAACATGTACACACTATAAATCACAGTATGATAATAAAATTTATTTATTATACCTTTCAGAATAAGTACAACTATTTCAAACCCTCAATGGCAACCTAAAACAACATCCGTTGTATATGCTCAACCTCAGAGGCATCCTACACCACCAGTGGGTCGAGTTTCAAGACCACCATCCACTGTGTACTCCAGTCAGCAACCCCGTTTAATTACACCAACAGGCCAAGGAAGGTCTGTACAAGCCACAATGGTAACTGGAGTTCCGGGTACTCCCTCCAGATTAATAGCACCTGTTCTTCAAACAAATAATAGTATTACAAGACTGCCAGTTTCACAAAGTAGACTGCCTACGCCTCAAGTGACAAATGTATCGCAGACTGCACAATCTAGCAGGTCTTCTGCTCAAACTATTCAAGTAAATTGTTACATTTATTAATGATTAAGATTATCAAATAATATTATTATAATGATTAGATAAATTCTATATCAAACTTGTAGCCCAGCCAACCAAACAGATCTTTAAGTACTCCGGGGACAGTTAATCGCATAGCTGTATCAACGCCTGTAGTTGGAACTGCAAGTAGAATAAGTGGTACAGCATCCGTGACTGTTCAACCAACAGTAGGACGGCAATTATCGATTAACACAGTAGCCGGTCCGTCGGCTGGTACTGTAAGTCGAATTGTCATTCCATCTCAACAAGTAGGTATTGGAAAGCCAATTTTGCCATGTACCTATGACATCAAAAATATTTATTGAATATTCAATAAAATAAGTTTTATTTTAGGTACAACAACAACAACAACAACAACAACAACAACAACAACAACAACAACAACAGCAGCAGCAGCAGCAGCAGCAGCAGCAGCCGCCGCAGCAGCAGCAACAGCAGCAGCAACAATTACAATCCCAACAAGCACAGTCACAACAACAAACAGCTCCACGTGTAGTTCAAACAGTAACATCTTTGACAAATCTTAATACAGTATCAAGGGTGATCACTACAGCAGCAAGTACATCAAATGTAACCAGAATATCACAACCAACACCAACAACAGTTACTAGAATTACTGGGATGTCTTTACATCCTTTACCTCTAGCACCTGCAAGAGTTACTTCTGCACCTGTTAAAACAGTGCAAGCTCAAAACATCGGACCGACAGTTCAAATTAAACCTTCCCAACAGTCCGCATTACGGGTTTCTTCAGCTAGTAGTACAAACAGTAATTCGAATACGATGCCCGCTCAAGCTGTTCAAGGACAGTATTTACACCCACCACATACCACGACGTACTACTCCTTTGAACCTACAGGTAATTTGTTACCGTTGTTTCTGTTTTTACTTTTGAAACAAACTTACGTTGTTGCTGTTATGTAGGAACATATTCTCAATACCGACAAACACCAGTAAGATTATTTGTTGAACCAGGATATGATGAACCACATACCAAGCCAAATGCATCTCCAAGACCAAGTATACTTAGAAAAAGGGATCATGATAATTCACCAGTCAAAGGTATAAGAAAGTATAAAATTACATTTGCATTGTATATATGATTAATTTTTGCTTTTATTTGTTATGTTCATAATTTTGTATTACATAGATTGATTGATTTCATTTCACTTTTAGGTGTCGCAAAAAATTTGGTTCCTGTACTTGCCTCTCTACCACCTGTCACAACATCTAGCCCTCCTTGTTCGCCAAGAGGAGATCAAGATGGTGGAGGTTGTCAAAGTTCAGGATCCACCACAGTTTCAGCGACATCATCGCCAGGACTGGATGAAGAACCAGAACAATCTAGAATTACTTTGAATCCGACTATAGAAATGTCTCCGAGAAAGAAACCTCGAAAACAACAACTTACCAGTGTAGAATTAACAGAATCAAGATGCACGGAAGAAGAAATGCAATTTATTACGGAGGAAAGGATGAAGAAAGAGCTTAAAGAAGAACCGAAGGAAAAATCTTCTGATAAAAGACAAATTTCGAATGTTCAACGCGACATCATTAAATCTCCTACGCAACAAGCAACTGTTACAATAAGAGCGCGACCTACACCCAGTTTATTAGGTTTGTAAAAGGAAAGCTGAAACTGTTATGTATGATACAAAATAGTTTTTTTTCACAGGACCATCCTGGAAGAATAGGTGGGGTAGTAGACTACATCATTATAGGCGACCAAGCGAAGTCCGACCTCGTGAAGAAAGACGACCAACTGTTGCAGAAATAGCGCAACAAAAACACGTATTACAAAAGCTAAATGGTTGGAAAGTGTATCATCTTACAGCGCAAATGGAAGATATTGCTGATCTTGAAAAACAAGTACGTTTATAAATTGGTATAGATACTCTACATAGTTTTGCTTATCTAAAACTGTTAGTTATAATTTTTTGCGCTCATGCAGGTACACGAAAAATTGAAAACAACATTAACGATGCTCGAATCACAACAGAACATCAGGAATAGGCAAGATGATGGACTCGAACGTGTAAATGAACTGATTAAAGGAAATATGCAGCGTAGTAGCTTAATTAGCGAAGGAATGAATGAAGCGCGTATGCAGCTTAATGCTATATTTCAACATAAAGGACCTATTACCGATATTTTACAACGGTGCGGCAATAAACGGGCTCAAAAGAAGCGAGACAAATGAGCTAATATGTGCTTTGAAATCAAATTAAAAATGTGTTTCTAAAGAAACCTTACAGAAATAAGGTTCGGAACGGAATTATTTTTATCTGTGTCACAGAATCTATATTATAGATATAAAATAAATGGTTTTATAAGTCTATGACACGACTATGGCTAAACACGTTTATACTTTTATTATAAAAATCGCCGACTTTTTATTTTAATATAACACTTGTATTTGTTAAAGTGTCCTTTTATATTTTGTCGTGTTATAAAAGTATGTGTGTGTGTGTGTAAACGGGGTGGATGTTGTGCGCGCGCGCGCATGTGTGTGTGTGTAGTATACACGTTAAATCATGTATATACTTTTAAGTGTTCTACCGCATATGACTGTTAAAAGACACTTCGAGAAGAAAATTATAGAAATACGTGAAAGTTTTAATAACGTAAGAATAAAATAAACTCATGTTAATATTCGAAATATGAAATGCAAGATGCACGGTTTACACTGCTTTGTACATAAGTACTAATGTAACAAACACGGTACCTGAAGAGCATGTATGTTACCATGGTGACAACATATTCTGAAATCATTACTTAGTAACAATAACAGTATCATTTAATATTTAACCACTCAGTATTTGGAGAGGATTTTAAAGTAGTAGCCTACTAAAATATTATTAGTAGTGTAACAATATGTGGTGGGGATACAGTCCTGCACTGGATATACAACATGAAGTTAATGAAAGCAAAACTAATTGTTTAGGTGAGTGTCTCGAAGTATTAATTGTAGGTGCTGGTGATGCAAGACATATTGTGAAGACATTGGCATCATCGTATTTGCATCATGACCGTATTATTAAATATAATGTAATTGAATCAACATTGGAACAAGTTGGTAGATCTATCCTCTTACTAAGTACATGTTTAGAAAAAAATTTAGGTATGTATACAAGATTTTAAAATAATGAATTATAATTGTTCTGATTAAATACATTTTTTGATAAAAAAAATTAAATCCATTTAAGGGTTGCAAGAAGCAACTCGATATTACCTGGAAATATTTGGAAATACACTTGTAAGACCAGCAACTGCTAAATATTTGATAAAGCTATCAAATAATTTGGCAGACATACCAACGGGCACAATCGATTGTCCTTGGTTAAGTTTAGAAAATTTTAAGCATAAGGATAAAGATCGGTTAGAAGCAATTTTCAAGTAAGTTTAATAGAACAAATTAAAATGTACATTTCTTTAATATTTTTAAGTTTTGACTTGGTCTGTAATATCTTTTGTAAGATTTTGGAAGCGTGCAACATGTGAAAATATTCCCATCGTAGAATACTGGGACCAAAGAGTTAGAAAGTCATTAAACACAAGATACGATTATCGTAATGGTGTTTTTGACTGGGATTATCATATTATTTTGAAATCTCGTGATGTCTCATACTTAACTGTACAAGAATATAGGTAAATTTTTCATACAACATTTTCATGTAAATACATTATACGACAAATATGTTTGTACACATAAACTTGGTATTTATTAATTTCAAAACTAGATTTTGGAGAAACAATGGTATTGCATTCACTTGGTTAGAGGGAGAACCTGTTAGAAGCAACCCAACACTATTAAGTAATATAATACAATATGGACCTGGATTTGTACATTATACTTATTTAGGAGAAATAACAAATGGTCCCTTTTTTACATGGATCTTAGAAGAATTAAAACATAATCGGTAAGATTTACCTTTTATTTTGTCTGAAATGTTAATATTATTCTTATTTTCTATATATAAATACGGGCATAACAATTTAGAAAGTATAGAGCAACAGATGTAGCTGAATATGAAATCATGCATTGCATTTATGAAATTAAAACCAAAGAACCATTATGCGAAGACCTGTTTGCATCACATAGAGACCGCTCCATTTTAAATAGTACAATAATAAGTGAGTCACCAAATAATGAAATGGAACAAGAATCATGGAAGAAGGAAGCAACTAAATACAAAACAGACAATATATTTTGGACAAATATTGAAAATCATAAGGTAACGTTAATAATTGAATAACATTGTATACATACTACTTTCTAAAATTTATAATATATCTTTAGGTCATTTTTCATCCTATAACTTCTATAGAGACACTCAAATTCAAGGCAGATTATGTCAATAGATTCGACTTTCTATGGGTAGCACATAACATGGTCAAACAATTGCCTAATCTTAGTCCATTATTAAAAAAAGGAGCAATTGTTTTAATTGAATTACAAAAGTATTTGATAGAAATACGAGAAGAAAAATTACACGACTTTGTAAAGGAACTGAAAGATAATGCAAAAAAATGTGGATTGCGTGAAATTGGTGACATAAATTCAAAAAAGCATTGCATTGCTAAGTTTTGCAAAACTTAAATAATTATATAGAACTAATGGAGTTTTTTTTATTTCCCCCCTCCCTCTATCTCTCTTTTTCAGCCGTGTGTATACGCGTGTACACGCACGTGGGCTAACCTACCTAACCTACCTACCTAACCTGCCTAACCTGCCTAACCTACCTACTAAACCCACCTAACCTGCCTAACCTA